ATAGATAGATAGATAGATAGATAGATAGATAGATAGATAGATAGATAAATACATATATATAAAAATAGGCCAATGAGCCAACATCCCATAAGTGGTGCTTAAAAATCTGTTAAATTGAATTGTTTATATATGTTATACATATTTTACAAACATGACCAAAACAAGAGTTTTCTCTTCCCACTTTGTACACTCAGCGGATGGGAGATTGGATCCAAGTGAAGTTTCTTTAGATTCAAAAGTATTTTGATCTGGCTCAGGATGAACTGGACTAAGAAGAAATGAATTAAATTGGAATTAATTAGATTATGATTGTATTACATTGACTGATTGTCTTGAATGAGACCGTATCTTTGAAGTGCCAAAAGATGCCATTTGTTATGACCACTAAACCTAAATTCAATTGAACTTCCCTTTTAGTAATACTTTTCTGTACCTTCATTGCTTTTTCATGCACACAGGATATTGTGAGGTATATGGGCTGTGTTCTTCTGGATCCTCTTGTAAATGAAGTCGTTAAAAGAAAAAAGAACCATGACGACTGCCAGGCTGCAATCACGCATCTGACCATGGTAGAAATAATGCATCCGTAAAGATATAATCATATGTTCTATCGAGACATTAATTAAAATGTACCATTTTCTATAGACTTGCAGCCCAGAAAATGTCCTGCATTGCTGGCTTAAAATACTTGCAGACATCGACCCAGGTGCCATTTCTGAGATTATTATAGCCATTCTTCCACATCTTCAAACAGGTTGGTCTATCGTCAATATCTATAACACATTTTTGGCACTAGTATCCATAGCCCTCTAATAAAGCATTAAATTAAGTCATACTTTAGTTTTAAAGCTCTGTATGAATCTGTATACAACATCTCTGATACAGAAAAAGCTCTTGTACAAATCATGGTATTTGACGCCCCCTGCTGCACATCCATGTGAACAAGAATGACGATCAAACTGGAATAAATCTGTCCTTTTGGCAGTCCTGTTCAAGCTGGATGAGAGGAAGGCAGTCAGTGTTGGTTTGGCTCTTTCTGCCCTACAAAAGCAGCTGTCCCGACTGCCTGTACCTTACACCGAGCAGCAGGAGGAAGACGATGAGCTGGGTCTGTGTCGCTGCTGCACCGCCTTAGCGCTTTTTATGGAGCCCTTTGTAGAGGAGGCCAAGAAGAAAGATGATCCCTGTGTAGGAGAGGACGACCTGAAGATTGAGCTTTTGAAGTTGTAGGTTTCTGTGTTTGTTAAGTCTTTTTTTAAAGGGTTTTATGGTACTTTATTTTCCCATAAAGATAATAATTTTTTATACAATCACTGAACACAAAAAATAACAGATGCTATATGATTTTTTTTTTCTACAATCAGCTGCATGAAGAGCTTGAGAGATCCTTTGCTTGAGGCTGACTTGAATCGAGAAAGACAATCCGCATTGTGGCTCTTTGCAGTAGAGATTACGGTACGAACAGAGACTTAAGTTATTCAAGTTTCAGAATTTTTTCCTTTAAAGTAGACCCCACATAAAGCTAAAGGGTAACCAAATAGCTGTTAGGCTGTTGAATATTGACAGCAGATTTTCTCTTTAAATTTGTTCTTTTTTTCCTAGGTATTGATGGGCTCTTGTGCCTCTTCCAATCTGTTAGAAATCGGATGGCTGTCAAATTAATTTGCCCAGTTAGGATTAATCATGCTTTTGTCAATCAGAATAAAGTTTATACTAATTTATTCATTCATTTATGTGCATTGTAGGCCATTCTCCATGCCATCAGAGAGTCTCTTTCAGAACTCATATTCTTCAGTTCTCTAAGGAAAAGCACTCTAATGGACACCAGTGTGTTCAAGGAGTCCAGAGCGTGTCTGGCCTACCTTCTATTTGTCCAGCTTTTAGCCATGGACAGCTTTCCTGCAGTGTTCAGGTGAGAAGACATTATACATTTTCATACAACACATAGAAACTAACATACAAAGCTTGTAAATGTTAAGTTAACAATGAAACGATTTAATCCTGCTGTTCCAGTCCTGTATTTATTCTACAGTGCAACATGGAACACATCAGTCAGCTCCTTAGTAGGTAAGCTATAACTCTAATATTATGCCATAGTTTTTGTCAGGCAAATTTCAATAATATGTATCCTGCTTTTTGACAGCAAAAAGGAATCACATTTGCTCAAAGGACTGGTAAGATCCCTTTATTATGCAGAAAATATTCAGGCATCAGACCACATATCACAATAGAAGCTTAAGTCATGTTTTACACAGGCACTGCTTGAGAAAAGCTTGGAGAAGGTGGAAGACGACTGTCTTCCAGTGGGTCTACTGGAACAGAAGAGCTTCCATAGTTCACTGCAGGTAACACTTAAGACTGTTTTACTGACTGCACTCCTACTCCACCTTCCTCCCATCATTCAAAAACCTCATGTTAGGAAAAGAAATTTACAAATGTATGTATGTGTACAATAATACACACTCAATCGTAAAATAACTGACAATGAAAGTTCACCCAAACTGAAGCATTGAATAATGCACAGTTATTTAAGAATTACATATCAAATATAACACTTAATTGTGATCTACAATAACTAAATGTATCGTGACCACTAGATCTCCGTATCAAAAATATCATGAAACTGTCCGATTGATTTGGACCCTTATTCAGTTGTGGTGTGCTGGACTTCACAGAACCTGCAGTGTATTCTTACTGACTGTCCAATGCTGCATTTGGTGAGTAAGTTATATACATGATTAGAGGAATGTGTTTCTGAGTCTGCATAATTGTAAATGGGTTTAATTACCTTTATTTTGGTTCCCATTTCTTAAGAGAAAATCAGGACTGAAGATTTTACAGCTATTCATCAATAAGTTAGACCTTGAAGCAAGACACAAATTCTTCAGGTGAGAGCAACAAAAAATAGATCAATTAACAATATTTTTTGTATCTTGTATCTTTGTATTTTTTTTAACTTTTCATGGAACATTAATCAAACGTAATTCTTAGTCTTTTATATCTTCTTATTAAATATTTAATACTGGACATTTCTGTGTGGAGTTTGCATTTTCTCCCTGTGACTGCGTGGGTTCTCCGGCTTCCTCAAACAGTCCAAAAACCTGCATGTTAGGTTGATTGGACATTCCAAATTGCCCCTAGGAGTGAGTGTGAGTGTGTGGTTGTTTGTCCTTATATGTCTTTGTGTGGCCCTGCGATGGACTGGCGGACCGTCCAAGGTGTACCCCTCCTCTTGCCCATTGACCACTGGGATAGGCTCCAGTTCCCCCAGCGATTCCATTAAGTGGTTACGATAATGGACGGATTTCCTTAATGTGCATTTTTGATTTGCCAATTTTGTGCTTCAAATTATTATTATTAGGGGAAGTTTGGCTCATTTTAAATTCACAGTTTTTTTTTTACCAATCTTTTTCAGGTACATGTTAAAGACAAGCCACCATGCAGGTCTAGAAAGTTATATAGTCAATAACATCAGAGGTCAAGTAGAATTATCCATGAAGGTAAGATAAAACGTTGCAATTGTGGGTAACTGTGTTACCTTTATTGAATTTACAAGACTTGGCTTTTTAATGCAGCTTCAGTCCATGGGAGATACAGTTTAATCTATTGTACAATCTACTCTTTTCCAGCAAGGAAATGCCAACAAATGGTTCTTGGGAAATGAGCTCATATCATTGCTGGAACTGGTACTGCGTTTACCAGAATGTGCCGAGACAGATTTGCTCACCAATATGGACAGGTGGGTGTTATGAATACCGATGATGATAAGGCCTGCTACTCCTTAACTTTAAAGTCTTAACACGATCCACCAATTCTTCATTTGACCGATTTAAATCCGCAAATGTAACCAACTCATGTAACTCCTCCATACTTTGATCTCTGCACTTCTTTGGGCTTGGTAAGATGTATGGTACCATTCTGAAATCATAAATGGATGCGATGTTTCTGGAATATTAGGCAAAGAAACCAGCAAAATGTAACTTTAAATGTTCTGCCTTTGGTTAACCAGGATAATGGAGAGCCTTAATTTGCTGCGCTACATGTTTCTCAGAGACAAAGAACTAAGGAGAAATGTAAGTGTGTTTAATTCAACACCTTTAGCGATTTACCACAGTAACGCTGTGCACAAAGTCATGACCTCCTTTTCTGACCTTCAGACGTTTGTATGGGATGAATTGATCAGGATCAAAGATGAATACCTCAAACTGCTACGTGTGTGTATCAGCATGTCAAGAGCATATTATTCTGCTGAACTGAAAGCTCTGAGGGAAGATCAAAGGTTACAAGCAAAAGGTGAGATTTAGCTTATTTTCTGTGCGATATTTATGGTTTGTAAATTAACAGAAATTGTACTCAAGCTTAATTGACATTGTTAATTGTGTCCAACAGAAGCCAGAGATGCTGCTAGATCCAACAGATTAATAAAAAGCATGACAGTGAAGCCAGAAAAAATGGCCAATATGCCTCCAGAGGTCCAGCACCAGGTACAGATAACTTTTTCCCCCATTTAACTTCAAGTTTGAACTCTAATAATCAAGCTGACAGTCGTTTTGTATCTCAGGTGTTGCAGATTGCACTGGTGACATTTGACCTCATGGAGAGCCTTATAATCCGAATTGAAGAGATTGCAGAGAAAAAGTAGACATTGTAAGATCAATTGTATTAGTAAACAGTATATGAAAAAATATAAAGCAAGTGTTTTAATTTTTATTGTCAAAGGTAAATGTGACAGCTGAAAATAAACTGTGTTGATACTATATGTTGAACTTTTACTTCTGCTTTTGTCAAGTAAATACAATGTTGTTTTGCTTCATAGAAAATAAAAGATGCTGGACCACCTGATGACCCTTACAATATGTTTCTTAGCATTTCCCACACAGGACTGGTCTCAATGATGTGAACTCTGGCCAGGGACACCCGATCACGAATACTGTCAACGTAGGGCTTACTGGTTGCCTGCAGACAAATACGTTTTGGTTTACCTCCAGTATAACATATAAAAGAAACAGCTAAACTAGAGTTTTCCTAAATCATCAGGTACCTTGGCAATTGTCAGCATTCCTTTGACAGTTTCAGCATGGTTTCGTACAGGTAGGATCCTGAGATTACTGCGGAAAAATCTGAAATATCCAATTATTTCTCAGTTTTTTCCAAGATAAATTATACAAATGTATAACCACAAGTCTCAGTATCATTAAAAGTTTTTTTTTTTTTTTTACAACGCTAAGAGCAAGGAATTATTTATTCTACGAATACTGGAAAGATATTTTTATACCTGTTCTGAATCATTGTCAAAGCTTGCATTTCGTTTTTCCCATTAAAGGGGGCATGTAGTAGTAGAAAGCAGCTTCGGTGGACTTGTACAAATTTCTGGAGCCGGTCGATGACTCCCGATTCTTTAAAATTCTCCAGTAGGTCATGAGGGTCCACCAAGAAAAATGCAGTACCTTGGAATTAAAGTGAAAATGTCTGAAGTTATTCGTGTCAAAACAATTCAGATAATTTCAATAGCGTAAGAGTTCAAAAACTGTTTAATGTAGCCTTTGTGTGAAGTTATTTTAAAAGTCAATATATATGGACTGAATATTTGTTTAGACGGTTGTACAAAGTTTATGTTTAGTGTACATGGTTACTTCGTAGTTTTACCTGACAACGGGAAAACGAAGGCTCCGGACTCGACGCTGTCAGAAAATCTGATTCGGTGTTGCTGAGCTGAGAGCAACTTACAAGCTTCATGGTTCTGGCAAAGGAAATACAGAAAATATAACTAAAGCCTATTATCTAAAGAATTATGTAGGTGTCAAATTTCGCCACTTTTTCCATTCATCAACGGCGTTGTTGTCGAGTGGCTAATCACAGCCAACCAATATGGCAACTTTTTTTCTTTTTTACCGCCATTTTTTCATACATATTCTTCCCATTACCTGAAGTGTTGAACTGACTATAATAGTTGTTTTCCATTGGGCATTTGTTTCTCTTAATGTTTCCATTACTGTAAACTCTCAATTATAAGTAGGACGACACTCGCTGAGGATACTGCTATTACAACCCGGACGGACCGTGTATGACTCCCTTGCCTAATAGCGAAAATTTAGCTAATAGAGGGGGGAAGAGATTATTCAAGAGTCCTGACTTCGTGTATATTCCTAAGCGTCAACGTCTGCAAGGCCAGAATCAAAGCAAAATACTACAAAGCTACCAATGTTATAATTCAAAATCTGACCTCTCGTTAACAGTAACTTTATTTAATTAAAGCAAGTGTTCCCAAAGTAATTCTGACAACCGTTTGTATTTCATTAAATATCTCTTCCTATTCATAAACAAAACAAGCAACATTATTTCTATGAAGCCAATTTAGTCGGATAAAATGTGTGTGATTGATGAATGAGGGTTCAACAAGGCAAAACCAGTCAATTGTACCCATGCATCCCATGTTGAAGCATACATATCTGTATGTTGTACATGCATAATGTAAAAAACAAACTGACAATCTGAATTTACAAAAGTGGGATAAACCTTACTTTTAATTACTGTTCAGCTTTTAATACCCATAAATATTTATTTCACACTTAATGCAAGCCTGTGACTTTTTGTTTTTCTTTAAGAAATATCGGTAAACCATATCATATAAGATAAACCCTTTCTGAAAAAGACTTATTTTTCCCCAGCGTATGAGGAGCACAAACCCAACACTGAAACAAAAAAAATATCAGCATGCATAACCGCCCTTTTTGGGTCAAGAAACGGTACGGGCATAATAAGGAATGCAATAAACTGTTGCAAAGTCCTGAGCTGTGTACAGTTCAGGAAAGAAGACGTCATAAAGAGAAAGACAGATTGTGATAATAAACTACAGTCAACAACACTCAAACAGAAAGTGTACACTGTCCGGCAGGTCTTCTTCTATGTGGTCAGTGATGCGTTTCCAGTTCAACGATGGTCCACTCCCCCTGGGGAGATGCAGCATCTTCTGGAGAGAAGCTGGTTACTGTGATGCTCGTTGAGGAGTCCTCCATGGGTGATATGAGCTCTGCCCAGCGTTTGGTCTCTTTCTCTGGGGACAAGAGAGCTTGAAAGTTCAGGTAGTCACGTGATAGGGACAGTGTCTGCTTGATGAGGTACTGGGCCAAGTTGAGCTCCTCTGGCACAGGGTTTATGACATCAAGATTTGACTCATGGTCTGAGAGAAGTTGCCTTAGCAGACTCCAGTCCTGCTCTGCAAACTCACTACTCTTGTCTCCGTCCCTTCTTTGCTTTTCGTCCTCCACCTGTTGTTCAACATTCCTGTCCTTATCTGAGCAGTGCTCGAACGCTTCTCCTACATCCGTCTCGTAAATCGGAGAGAGGGCTTTGGATGGTCGGCGATCATGTTTGCAGGTTTGATCCAATCTGTCACAACCATAGTCCCCTAAAAACAATTGACAATACTGCAAAATGACAAACTGAATAATACATCCACATGGATTACTTTTTGCCCACTTAAATAAAAACACAGATAACAGAAAATTTATACTTAATGCAGCTGTGCCCTTTCAAAATTATTCCAGTGATGTCAAGTGCAGACAACACAGGGAGAAAGCAGTGATATGATGGTCACATTGACAATTAAATGGATGTAGCATTAGGAAATCTACGAATGTGTCATTCAATTTTAATATACTTGAAAGGGTAGACAATTGCTTTAAAAAGTAAAAAAGGAATAAATGCTTTTCTGAATAAAACTCTTTTTCCACTTGTTTGAACAAAGTAAGCCATGCATTGCAAGCACCAGTGAATTCTGTATTTGTCACGTCGCAACAATGGTATTCTAAGTTTTACATACAGGTTTCTGAACAAGCAGACTTAAAGAAACAAACTTCAAAACTGTCACAAAAATGCAAATGCAGTGCTGCGCTCTGTAGCACAAAAGATGGCATAACACCATTGTTCTTTTCACATTCTTTGTGTTTTCTATTTCTTAAAAATAATTCCCATTTGCATCTGGATGGCCCATCTGCAACAGTGCAGCAGAGTTTTCTTTTTGTAAATGCAGCAGTGAAACATATGGCAGAACTATGACAGCCGCTCCAGACGGACATCACATATTTTACACAGGCTACCGATTCTACACACAAAATCTACAGGACAAAGGCTAACAGAGAAAAATATACTTTTCTCAACAGATGGACACCTATCTAGACACAAGTATACTGAGTGTGACAAGAGATGATTGAAAAATAAAAATGACAAATTAACTGCAGGAATTGCATGCATGTGTGCAGTGTCTAGACAAAAAACGAAGAGGAACATTCATATATATATACACATACATATATACATACACACACACACACACGCACACACACACGCACACGCACACACATGCATGTTGAAATAAATTATTTTTAATTTTATCTTATCTTAAAGGGTACTACATATAGCATTTCAACATCAACAATAAATAAAGATTATATAAAATAAACACCACTTATGAGAATTTAAAAAAAGATAAGTGTACTGAACTGTAGGAACCTGAGTTTGTGTTTTATGGGACCGATAGAGAAAAGATTTTGTCACCACAAGTTTCAGCTTCTTTTAAGCATTACAGTTACAGGAAATTATAACATTTACCTTTAAGTATAATTCAGTGTGCCATGTGTGCAGAATCAAAAATAAGAGACAGGATGCAGTGGAGTTCATGAAGATTCAGTGACATAAAAAAATGAACTAATAGTACTTTGATGTTGAAATGCCATAAAGAGCACCTAAAATAATGATAAATGATCTCAGGCTTTAAAAGGCTTAAGATTTTTTTAACGGCAAACAAAAAAAATGTGCGAAAATAAAAATGATTTATTTTTCATGTATATAAACATGCACTTACAGGCTATATTTTTTCTTTTTTTTTCCACAAATGCAATAACCGGTATATCATTTTGTCAATCTTAATTAAATGTACACTACTGTTGAGATTTTTTTGGTATTGAAAACTGAATCACCATAATCTAACTATCACTGACTAAAGGTAGTTCAAATGTTGAATGACTATAAAATGTACAGATTAGGGTGGTGGTTTTGATGATACATATTCAATTATTAAAAGGATATTGATGTGGAACCTGATGGATCAAACTCTATCTAACCATATATTATTTTGGAATTTAAGCTTAAATTGGTAAACTTTCTAAGGTTAGTATGTACTGGAAGCAGGTGAAGTCTATTTGAGTACAGGAAAACGTATATTGTAGTGACTAAACTACTGCCTCATGGATTGACTTTAGAGGTACAATGGGGTTTGGATTTGAAATCTAAGAAGGGGCTGGAGATCATACATTACCTGCTGTAGATTGTGCGACATGAACAGGGGAGACCCCTGTCAGCTGATGCTCATTTAAGTCGAGATGTAAATCAGCTTTCTTGCTGTCTGTAGGGTTGGGATTGAGATTTTTGCTCATTCCATCATTGTGCTGTTCGGTATGCCACAGATCCAGGTGGCACGGGCGCTCCTGGGGAGGAGGGTCTTTGGTGTCAGAACTTAGAACAGCACAGCTTGACTTCACTTCATCTACTTGGATATGACTGCTTTCCTGCATAGGATCCTGGACCTCTGTGAGAAATACAGATTTATCTACAGATTTCTGCTCATTGTTTTCTTGCTTCATAGTTGGATTTAGATTGACATGCGGGTGGTTTTGTTGGTCACCAGTTGGGGTGTGACTGAACTCAGGGGCTGTCGAATCAGTTTCAAAAACATCACAAGGGGTCAAAGCTTCATCTTGGTGCTGCGGTGGAGTTTGGACACCACCTTCTTCTGAGCCCAGCTCCTCGCACTCGTCCACAGAGAGCAACACTGATCGATGGAAGTTGGAAGTGGACTGGAAATCAGGCTGCTCATTCTCTTGGTCCACGCAGTCGTCATCAAAAGCAAGGTTGACAATCCCCTGAAATTGTGGCGATTGTTCTGTTTGAAGTAAAGGGGCCTGACCTGGAATCACTTCAACTTCTGATCTATCATCTCCAGTCTCCTCTTCATCATCATCCTCCTCTTCAGAAGAGAAGGGCTGGTGATCCGGGACACTTACAGTTGTCGTGGCAATTGCTGCAACCTCATCCCTTTGCAACCACGACTGAGGACACTGTCTCACTCCCTCCTCCTCACTGGTGGTCTCGGCCTCTTTGCCACGCAAATGAACCTCCACTCTCAACCCGGCTCCCCCTTCATACATCTTCAGTTCTTCTGGGGTGCTGGTGTCACTGCTGCTTCGACCCAGGAAGTCATGACAGCGCATGGTGCCGCACTTGGATACACCTCTGTCATTGGAGCAGTCATCATCTTGTGAGCCACCTGCATCGTAGTCCTCTGAGCGAGGCTTTATATCATCAGAGGACGTTGTGTGTGTGCTGACAGTTTCAGATTCTGGACTGACTTGGAAGTGGATTCCACTCCATGAGTCCTCTAACGGAATGTCAGTGCTATCCACGCTGCAGGGGGTTTCTACAGGTTGTTCTGTGTCTCTTTGGGAATTTAGCGCACCAATATCATGAGCTTGTCCTATACTGATGTGAGCTGGGATTACACCTCTTTCAGACTGCTTCGCTTTACTCCAATCTGGCTCTTTGCAATTGTCTGTTTCCGCAAATCTGACATGGAGAATGTTGTTAGCAGCTGGTGTAACATTAGTCTCATGTTCTGCGCCATCACAGTTTCCGGATTGTGTTTCAGTGGTCCTAATAGTCTGATGAGGGCTTGGTTTTGAATTGGGAGAATCTTTTCTGCCCTTATTTATTTGTCGTGAACCGTTTGCCGCCGGTTGCTTCGAGGGCACCAGCTCTGCAGTGTCTTTTTGCTCCACAGAATCTAAAGAATTTTCAGCTTGCTCAATTTTGCTGTCTGATTTTTTACTATTCACAGTCTCTCCTTTAACTTCTGATTTTTTGGATGCAGTAGCAGTGGAGGATTTAGAGGTTTTTGGTAGTGATTTTTCATTTGATGATTCTGTATCACTTCTTAGCTTTAGTCCAGACTTGGCATCTCCAACAGAAGATGGCTTAATGGGGGCGGAGATGATTTTTACAGGTTTAGCATTGGATTTAGCTGGGACCCCATTCATTGAAACAGGTTTTGTGATCTTCTTTTTAGAAGTGTCAATGTCTTTGTCAGCTCCTGAGGACTTTGTTCCATCCTTGCAGTCAGCTTTCCTTGGAGAACCCAGCTTTTTCGTCGAGGCTCCAGATTTGGAAACTATACCAAAGTAAAAACAGAACAAAACATTAATAATTTGGTACAACTGATCTAAAGTTGTTGGATTTAAGAAGATTTTGAACGTCTCACCATGGTGATCCTGTGTTTTCCGTTCTTTGGTCTCTGCTTTTGTAGCAATCACTCCTCTTGGCTTCTCTGCTGCACCAGTCTTGGCTTTAACAGTATCTCTCACACTTGACTTATTGGTTGGACTAGTGAAACGCAAAGAAACAAATATTTTTACCAAAGTATTTAACCCATCCACAAATGTTCAATACCCGCTCAGTCCAATTCAGAATTATTGATGGGTTGAAGCCTGTTCCAGCTGTTTGTTAAGAGGTGCTGTACTCTGTTGACACACAACTATGCATGGTCCATATTTACACCTGGAACCCTCTCGCTGTTCAATTAAAATACTTTTGCTCACAACATTATACAAATTTCTAAAAAGAGCTGGAGGGCAATTTAATCTTGATTTATGACATCAATACAGTTTTTCCCTTCCATTTGATCAAGGGCAACCTTTTAATGCAGGAACTGATTATCAAGTTAAAGTTGAAGCTTAAGTCATAAAGTTGGTCTTTTTTAGCTTCTTCTTTTAACGAAGTTCGGGCTCTCAACTATTTACTAAAAAGGACTATAGAGGTATTTTGTTGGAAGACTATTAAATATTAATGATTTCCCATGGTAAAGAGGGTGGATGATTTGGAGAGTAAAGGGTATTTCTACATTCTTTGAAGAACAGATAAAATATTTGTCAGAAAATGATACACAGACAATGGTGTCACCCACATGAGACCTTCAAAAATAAAAGAAAACAATAATAGTCAAAAATTCTCTTTTTTCTCTTCCGCAAATCTTTTCACTAATTTGCATATTTCATCATAGTTTCTGTCAAATCCAGCATCTGAGTCCCACATCTAAGTATTTTGATTCTCACACTCCCCCTTTTTGTCACTCAGTTCCTTATATCTTTACAATGGACCCGCAAATTCTGAAAGTTATGTTTTAAGTCTCTCTTCCACTGCATTATCATACTTCAGGTAAATGTATCGTGACAAATAAAAAACAGATACCAAAAAAACTGCAGGTGCACATCGAGTGGTAAGTAGTGCATGGCAAATTTAGTTGTTTTTTAATTACGTCCTGTTTTACCATTATTTTAATACACTGGTTGAATTGGTGACTTGCTTCTTCCAAAATTCATGCAAAGGGGACATAGGGAGTGGTCATAATGGGCATCTAAACATACTTTCAATTAAATAATACTGAGGTACTAGGAACAAATCTCACCTGCTGATCTTTGTCTCAGATCGTTGAGATTGTTTCGTCAAAGGGGATTTGTTAACCCCCTTGGTCTGGTTTTTGGGTTTTGCACCTAAAACATAAAACACAAATTATATGCGCAGCTACTGCAGGCCCATGTCTCATAGAAGGAATTAGTATTTCCCATCCATCTTTCCTCATCAAAGATTAACAAACATTCCACAGTAACAATTTTAATAATAAAATATGTCTTAATGTGCTCTATGAGTGTGTGAACTCCCATTACATTTAGTCACTTTCATGGTGGAGCACAAGCCCACATGCAGTGTTTATACCAGCAGGATTAGAGAAGACATCACAAAATGAGGTCAACATAGGGCTTTAACTGTAATATCAGCTGTGATTTCAAAATCTCTTGAAATGCTTAAAGTTATCAGACCCACAACCTTTTGTGACAGCTGTAAAATGCAAGGACAGCCCGCTTGTGCGCCATTTCCAAAATCAACATTTATACAGACACTGCCCTTGTCTTCCAAACATCCCTCTTGGCCACAGAAAAATATTACTCATACTAATTAGTCTGCTGGTCCCTGGAGCTGACTTGCAGACACTTCAGCTTGGCAACAGTGTTACACTACATGGAACTATTGGCACATTTCCACTAGTGCCTACTCAGCACAGCACGGCTCTACACTGTATTTTTGCATTTCCACGAGGGACTGGCCCCACTAAAAAGTTACAATTTTGGCACCTACTCAGCCGGGGTTCCATCAGGGCTGAGTGGAGCCGATGGCAGACTGCCGGACGCCGATTGGCCAGGAAGTCACATGATTAGATAGTGACTCGATCAAGTAAACCCCACCTTTGTTAAAAACAGGGCAACAACGAAGGTTTAATTTAATTATTTCTTTGACCATACATGCTGTTAATACCCAATACACGAACCAACACTGCAGTTCCCCTCAAAGGTTTAGTAGGTTCATAGCTGTTGAAATGCAATTTGTTTTTGTCTTGTGCTTGTGCTGGATATAAATGAAATCACCCGCAAGTCTTTCTGCTCGGCTCTAATTTGCAATGGAAAACCACCTTATGCGTGTAGAAACCTGCCGGGCCGAACAGGCACCAATAGAGAAAACGCCAAATGTGCCAGTCAGATTGATGAAATGAGAAAGTCATAGAAAGTTTGTAAACCTGGAAGGAAGTGGCTGACGTTGTGTAGACTGCTGACACCATTTTCTGGGGATGCGCTCCCTGATGTGGATGAAGCACTGGGGTGGGCTTGGGTGGTACCAGCAGAAGCATCAGCCTTAACTGCTGAGCTTTTCTGAGCCTTTGTTATCGTTTCCTGATTTACGGGCGTGTAGCCTGGGGAAGAGGTTTTGGGTCTTGCACCTGGATTTGGCTTCTTTTCTTGCTCTCTAGCCCCATGTAAGCTTCTGGGCCCAATGGCACTGGTAACATCCTGTTTTGCTGCTGAAGTTTCCGTTCCATTAACGACTGGTGAGCCAGCTGATGTCCTAGATTTGGTTGCCACAGCCTTGTCTCCTGGTTTCCTCACTGTCTTTACTTTGGAGGAGGGCCCATCTCTTGGTTTATTAGCTGTACCAACTCCATCGGATTTCATGACTGATGTAGCACTTTGAGAGGGGGAATTTCTGTTTTGAGACACCCTCTGAATCCTGGGCACAGGAGGACTCTTAGACAGGGATGTAGAGCATTTTACAGTCTTTGACTGCAAAATGAAAATGAGCACATCAGTCATATCACATCATTGTATTACTGCAGCAAGTTTTGTTGAGCAACAATTTTTGAAATACATTAGACAAAACATATTTCTTTTCTTGGATTATTTTTTGGTTTAAAAAAAAGTAAGCTCTTATTGAACTCTTAGCTATACACAACTATTTTATAACACATGTATTTGTTGTGAGGCTGAGAGAATAATTACATATGTCACATGTCATTACACTTTTACATTAACTACACTTTTTTCTGACTGGCAGGAGCACAAACTTTGCATGTACTCATCTGAGCAAAAAGTTGTTAATTTTTAAAAGTTTGTTCAGTCAAAACCAGTCATGGTTACAATTCAGACTCCATATTAACAAATAAAATGACAAATCTTTATCTTTTTAGCTCAATTAAAATAACCATGCAAATGTTGAGTATTACCTGTGAGCTACTGAATACAGGTTTTTTACCAAGTCTTCGATTGTCTCCTTTATCAATCGCATCTGTAAAGAAAAGAGATTAAATTATTCATTAAGTAATGATCACTTTTTTTTTCCATTGACAAATTTCCACGTCTGCTCCCAGAACACAACAGAATAACATATCACTGACGATATTAGTCATTTACGTCTTAAGAGTACTTACAAATGAAAATAAATTGTTCATAAATTAAAACTAGATGAGTATAACCGTTCATCTCTTCAAATAAAACAGTAACATTCAGTCAAGGATACCACCTGATATATCTATGTTTTGTATTTTAAAAGATTACTTAGTCAGCTATAAGGAAGTAGTCAGCTATTTGGATCTGTGGTGGCTTTTTAAAATATCTAACCCACATAAGCAGCAGTCCAGGCTTCAACCCATTAAAAACAAGCATGGCGCATCTGGTGCATTTAACGTTTTGGTGTGCCCTCATTAGCCAAACAGCTTCAGAGAGACAGTACAACTACAATTACAAAATCTGGCCAGCCGGTACATGATTTTGTTGTGACCAGGTTGTTATGATAAGAAGATACATTAAATCAGCTTATGTCAAGCACGCTTAGCAAGTGAAGGGAAAAAAACCCACATGCATCAACATATACTGCAGCATGATTATCTTGTGTTGAGAAGCAAATAATGCCTCAATAAAATAACAATCTACCTGCAAGTATCCTCTCTCTGTGTTTTGAAGACAGTGTTTTCCATCCTTGTGTGTGACGAACTGCATAAAAGGTCTGAAGAAGGAATGTCCAGAGCCGCCCTCGTAGCGTACAAATCTCTTGCCTGAACGGCTGGCGCTAACACAGAAAGGAGAGGGAGAAGAATGGCTAGGGTGCACTACAGCACAAGCGAATCAGCAGCTGCTTCGAGAACCTTTCACCATGGCAACAAATACCCTCCCTCCTCCCATCTCTCTCTCTTTCTCTGACCCTCCCTCCTGACTACTGTCTGTGTTGCAGAATTCACTGAACTCCCCAGTGCAAAATCTGTATTGTAACTAACAGCTGCCCATGTTCAACTTTCTAGGTTTGCACATCTGACTCTGAAAAAACGCGACTGGACAGAGAGAAGCCACCCCCCCTTATCTTCTGTATTTCAAACAACACACACCCTTTAGCTGCAGAGATACAACCAGATTAGTGAAGGGTGCTTGTACACGTCAGTCTCCCTCAACATAATCCATTCAGCCATACTGTGCAGTACTTATAGGGGTTATGTGCTTTAACTTGTGCAGCCAGGTTACTTTTTACAGAAGACATCTCACAAGCTATGTCTGCATGCCAATATAATTATTGAATCTGTAATAAAACTGATCACTTATCAGCTCTTTAAACGGGATCTCAATCTGCAATAAAGATTATAGTTCATATATGTGGATTTTAGATCAACAACACAAAACGCATTTGAAAAACTAAGTAATGCTATGCTTTTACTATGTATTTCTCTAAAATAACACCGGAAATATCTAAAATTTTATATTCTGATCATACTTAAGAAAAAAGCAAACACACAAACATTCTCTTCTTTAGATGAATGTCACTGGCCTGTTCTTAGGGATTTAGCTTTTTACAAAAAAAAAGGGCAGTTTGAATTTAAGGCTAGGACTTCACTAATGTCCACCTATGCATTTATTAAAAGGTTGAGACTATATCTCACACATCAAATGAATAAAATGCAAAAAGTGTCCTCCAAAACAATTAAAAATAATAGAAATGCCCACAGAATAAGACGAAAGATGGACTCCTGTGTGGAAAAATGGACAAAGTGGATTACATACATTGCAGTGACTAATTGAACATATGGGACATTGTTTACCAGCTTGCGTCATATCCCAATCCGGACAGTATATAGTTTTGTTTATGTTGTGTGTGTGTTTGTTTCTGTTTTTTTCTCTCCTTTTTTCTTTTTCACACCTTGTAATTGTCAACAACGAAAAATAAAGTTTAAAAATAACAGAAATGAGTGGACTTAAAGTAATATGATGTGCTGTGAACCTGTCTGTATATAACCACAATGTTGACTGGAGGCTTCATCGCTAAATTGGCAAACAAATCTTAATCTGAAGCACTACCAGATCACAAAAATTCCCACCTTGTAAATAATGTTCAGGAACAATTTTTTCAGTAAGTCTCAAAGATCCTCTCTGACGCTAACTTAGATAAAATTATATTAACATGCAAAAACTCAAAAAAGTTTTAAATAAATCAAATCATTCATACCTTTAAGAATAAATTAGATATTGGGTATCTTTTTCAGTTTACCTCCTCTTGTTTTTGTGGCTCCATGTGAAAATCCTCCTCTAGGTCATCCCCACACAGGCAGTTCACAGCAGTAAAAAGATCACAACAGTTATCCACAGTCACACCTTCCCTGACAGAGGAACACAGCTTCTTCAACAATGCTGGTTCTCTGGTAAACTCTTCCCTCTGTAAGTCAATGGCAACCAGCAAGAAAAAGATCACAAAAACTTACCGTTTAGTTTTGCAATGGTTGTCAAATTCAATCGATTCAGGTTATCATGGCTACGTGGCTTTCTTACCCGGCAAAGGTCCTGGAAGGCCTGGGTATGGATTACTTTTTGTAGGTTTTGAACAATAACACACAGGCTTTCCTCCTGTAGCTCTGTGGCCAGGCTCCTCACCTGCTGGGCCCACTTGACTTCAGGAAGGCTGCCAATCAGCTGCTCAGTGCCACAGAACACAGTTACTGCGTTCTGCACAGCCTGAATGAGAATATCTATTAGCTAAAGAAGTCTGCTCTACATAAATAAGCATCATCAAAACACTCTTTCATTCTTGCCCAAGACCCATTGATCAGAGTGACTTCTGGATGCTGTGTAACAGTTCTTTGCCAGCTCTGATTGTCAGCTCTTGCCAGAAGGGAAAAACAATGGTCTTGTCCTGGCTTACTCAGAGAGAAAACAGCCACTTTTGCCAAGATAAAAGGCAGGCTCAAGACTAATCAATTACATACCGGGTTAACTACCCATCTGTCTAGAGCTGCGTCCTATTCCTAAATCACTCTCTCTAATTAGTGACAACTCAAACATCTTTGATTAGATCATGTTCAAATATCTTTCCTGTGGAAGCACACTGCCATACTTGGTGATATCTTTGCTTTCACATGAATACAGCAGAGCTGATGACTGTGGGTGGATTAAACTCACCATTGTCTCAGTTATAGCGGTTAAACAGGCTCTCTGGAGCTCAGGGGACAAGAGGGAGAAGTTCCTCTCACACCAGGCTTTTACATAGTGTTCTGCAACCCATCTGATAACACAAATTGTAGACATCAGCTGCTTACATTTTGTTCACCAAGCAGAATTTACAGTGTCTTCGTATGACAGAGAAAATATAGGCTTTGCCTATATTCTGAAATGCAATTCAGTTGCATGCATTCATTTAATGTTCCTTAGACTTTGTAACATAAACTAGTTTGCATTGGCATAAGCTGAATGCCAGTGAGGAAATTAAGAGTTTTGTTTTACATACGGAAAATAACATTTAATTTGGAAAAAATTCAAACTTTGAGTATTTACAAATACTCAAAAGCAAACAAAAAATATTTAAGATTCTAAAGAATTGTGTGTTGCAACACCAATAAGGGTGTTTTCAGGATAATACTGCTCAATGGGGATCATTGTGATACATGACATCAAACTGCATCCATGTGATAGAAGTCAATATGTAACCTTTAATCATCAATGTATGGTCTCCGAGCAGCAAACTTAAATTAACAAGACACACCCAGTCAGAAAATCAATACTTTTTTCAAAGAAAAAATCATTTACAACTTCAAAAAGTAAATAACACAATAGCTTTTTATATCTCTATTATATATTTTATATCTCCATTTTCTCTGTTTTAGTACTCTCTGTTCCAGCTA